CCACCACACTCCGGGGCAGAGAGTTCCACTGCTGAACGGCTCTCACAGTCAGGAAGTTCTTCCTCATGTTCGTTTTTCCTGCCAAAGTGGAGTCTCTTGCATTTGTCCCTGTTGAACTTCATTGTGTGAGTTTTGGCCCTTCATCTCTCTAATCTGTCAAGATCGGTTTGAATCCTGCTCCTGCCTCTGGAGTCTTGGCTCTCCCTCCCAATTTGGTTCCGTCTGCAAACTTGATGATCCTGCCTTCTAACCCTTCATCTCAGTCATGAATGAAGATCTTGAGCAGGACCGGGCCCAGGGGGGAACCCTGCTGATGGCCCTCCGCTCGTCACTTCTTTCCAGGATGAAGAGGAGGAAGCCTTGGGGAAAATCACCCTCTGGCTTCGTCCATTTAACCAGTTTAGGAAGCTAGTGAAAACCTGGCTGTGGAATGAGGCCTTTGCAGAATGATGGGTGAGACCAGTAATTGACCAAAGTTATTGACCACAATATATGGACTGAATATACAGACTGAGTTGAACATGTTATCTTGGCAAACAGCTTTTATGTAATTCATTTTATTTGTATTTGTTGATTTACTGTCAATGTACGATGTCTTAGTTTTTTACTGTTAGCATTGACTCCTTGCTGTCAGCCGGTCTGATAGAGTTGGAAGAAACCCTGGGGGCCATCCAGTCCAAGCCCCTTCTTTCTACCGTGGAGGAAAGGCACAATCCAAGCACCCCTGACAGATGTCCATCCAGCCTCTGCTTAAATGCCTCCCAGAAAGGAGCTTCCGTTTGTGCCAAAGAGGAGAATCCCAAGGATGGTTTCTAAGCAACCGGGTTTAATAAAAGCTCTGCCTAACCTTCCCTTTTTAATATTCTTTTGCAATCCTGCTACATCTGCTGTTGTTTTTCTGCCTTCATCCGAAGCACAGTTTGCCCATCCGTTGCAACTGGAAAATGAGTCGGACATCAGGCAGTAAAGCGGGGAAGGGCCTCAGGGTTTGGGTCGCCTCTAAAGGGGGGAGAGGCTTGGAATAAAGAGAAGAGTGGGTCTCAATGGAGGAAGCACACAAGAAAGTGCTTTGCAAAGATTTGAAT